AACAAAATAGGTCGCCCAAAATTAAATTATGAACATGCTGGACCTAGGCTAAAAAGGAAATTAGCCTCCGAAGTTGCTTCACAAAATACGCTATATCATTGCTGCTACAGTTTCAGCCAAAATATTCAACGACAGAGACATGTCCTTTGTTTTGAATAAAGCAGTCAGAAATGGAAATATAGCCGAAGTAAGGAACAAACATTTTGTTATATGCAGTTATATGAAATAGTGCCCCAAATCATATGAAAATTGGTAGGTCATCTTGGAAGCATAAACAATGTATACAAACCAAATTTCACTTCAATAGCTTTACAAACAAAAAAATCGGGACAAATCGGCCAGATCGGCTATATGGCAGCTATATGAAATAGTGCCCCAAATCATATGAAAATTGGTAGGTCATCTTGGGAGCATAAAAAATGTATACAAACCAAATTTCAATTCAATTGCTTTAAAATTAGAGTTTATGCCAAAATAAACGTAAAAAAACAATAGTGCGTCAGTTCCATTGCGTATACGTCAAGTTAATCCTGTTCACAAATCCAGTGGATTATATTTGACGTATACGCTATGGATTTGGGATCGAGTGGATTTCGTAAATCTAAACCAGTGGTGGGCTTACAAAATTGAGAATATGTGTGGGTGACCTTAAATGAGAATTTACCATTAAAAACGACTGACCAAAAGAGAAAAATGAGAATGCGTGTTTAACCGTGGACGCTCGGTTGCGGTACCGTATATGGATAAGCATCCCTGATCTAAATGTACTATCTTTGGATTAATGCTCTAGTTAGTCAGCAGAAAGACCGGCATCAATGGTCCTTATCGACCAGCTATTATATCGCTCATTCACTGCAAGACCGGTATAAATCAAAAATAGTGATTTTTGAGTTAATGATGCAGACTTCATTTTGTGTAGAAACTTCACATAAATATCTCTTGCACACTCTGATTGAGATGTTGTAGGAGTTGCTCTGTTTCTTGTCGATTGAAAACTTAAAACCCATTTTCTGCAAAATCTATGTTTTTGATTTATGCCGGTCTTGCAGCAAGTGAGTTGTATGTGGTCTATCCCAATGCCTATATAAGGTCGGGCAGTAAGGCTACGTTTAGACTACTAAATCCACTCGATCTCAAACGTCAATTCCATTGCGTATACTTCACGTTAATCCACTTCACAAATCCAGTGGATTATATTTGACGTATACGCTATGGAATTGGCAAAGGAACGAGATCAGAAAAAGGAACTATATTAATTAAAGAGTTGGAACAAGTTCCGATCGTTCCTTTCTCGGAATAGTTCCAATGAACTAGTTCGTTCCGGAACTACCCAACTCTATAAATTATATATTTTTCTCAATGTACACAAAGTTTCCATCAGGGTGCGAAGAATGATTAAAATACACTCTTTCTCAGAATGCTCACCGGCGAGAATTCGAATGTTTTCAATTTATAGCGAATGATAAAGTTACAATGAATGCACAACCATTTGCATTCTCTCGAACGATAAAATTTCGCTGCAAGCATCGTCGATTCATTCTTTCGCGAGCATTTGTTGCTGAAGAATATTTTTTTGAAAAACTCAAAAAAACAAATGTTCGAGAATTCTCGCGAGCACGGTTAAAAACAACAACAAACTAAAATATCATAAAAACACACACCAACAACGAAAGAATGTGTGTGTAACAGAAAGTGTGTGGAATAACAAAACACATGTCCAACAACTTGTTGCCGTTTTGAGCATTCGCGAGAATGCTCAAATGTTTGTTTTCATTCGTGGGAGAATGTCAGAAAGAATTTCAATTTCACTCGTTTGTTAAGTGTGTGCGACCATTCCTTTGCGAATGTTCGTTTGGTAAAGTATTTATCGCCATAAATTCATTCTTAAATTGAGCACAAAACGAAAAGAATGTATTTTTAATCATTCGCGTGCGAATTTTTCGCACCTTGGTTTCCATTCAAATAACCATTGATTCCATATTCCTATGGAGTACTCCCTTTTCTCCATATGTTTGTTGATCAGCTGATTTGATCAAAACAAGGTGTGTCTGGTTACTTTTCCTGTAACATTTATTCAGTTAATTCTAGTTCAGAGAGTAAGCCTTTTTTACTCTCTTTTGCGATAATACTGAGAAAAGTAAACAGACAACATTTAGTAAGATTTAGCAAATAAACAGCTGATTCAAGAAAACCTTTGATTTGCGCCAAAATAAACAACAAACAAACGACGAACACAATTATTTGTATTGCATTGAATAATAAAAATAAAATGAATAATAAAAGAAAAATTGATTTGGTATGTTCCCCGGGAACATTTAAGTTTCCTGCATTAATACATTGCCCTGTCTCTGGAACTTGCCTAAAAATATATAAGGAATTAGTTTCTAATTTAATGAAACTTTGCATTACTTGCGAATTTTCTTCCATTTTCTCTAATTTTTATACAACATAACTTCAAATTGAACTTTGCAAATTAAAAAAATGTTTTGAAAAATGTTTGTGTTTGGTCATAAAATAGCTGATCCAAAAATGGCTGAGTTTGCAAAATCTTACTCCGTAAAATTCTTTCAGTAAACTCCAGTAAGTTTGTTGTTGTTGAACTGTCAAACTTGCTCTCTCACTTGACTCTCTTTTACTGGATTTTTGGGTAAACAGACAACATTTGGTAACAATTGTTAGCAAAAGAGCTGTCTCAAATGCTTGAGCAAGTATCCATGCCTCAATCCCTATACCGTCTTGTAGAGGGCGAGTTCGGTCCGGTGAAATTACTTAGACAGATCATAGTAGCATCTGTAATCCAATATTATCTTCTTCGAATATGAAAACTGATGGCATTTGATGTACTTATGGTGGTTCTGAGGCAGATAAAATCTGAAACCTAGTTCCTTCCGTCCATTTCCGACTTTAAATGTTATTCTTGTGCCAGTTAAAGTTATCCTGCATAGCCGTATCAGCTTTTCAAGAATGCTTTCGAATGTGGCTTTATAGTCGACGAATAGGTGCAGCAATGTGTCGTGGGTCTTTTTCCGTATTTGGCGCAGTGCAATATTTGGTCTATGGTGGATTTGCCAGGTCTGAAGCTGCATTAGTAAGGTCTAATAATGTCATTGGCTTCAGTCGTTCACACAACACTCTGGATTACACTTTATATTGAATCCTCTATATCGCCTTATTTCTTTTTTTGTCTACGAGACATTTGATGCAGAGGTTCAAAAAAAAAAATAAATAAATTACAGGCATTTTTTTTGAAAAACGTGTCCGAACTTCTCAAAACATCGAAATTTGGGAGGTATTGTAATGTGGAGGCTGACCTAATATGTATATCAATATTGACATTTTTGACATGTATATGTTGGAATTGGTCAAATAACATCTACCTTTAGATTACTAAATCCACTCGATCTCCAACGGTAATTCCGTTGCGTATACGTCACGTTAATCCTGTTCACAAATCCAGTGGATTATATTTGACGTATAAGCAATGGAATTGACATTTGAGATAGGGTGGATTTCGGAAATCTAAACGTACCTTTATATGACAAGTGTATTATCTTTGGATTAATGCTCCATTTAGTCAGCAGAAAGACCGGCATCAATGGTCCTTATCCACCAGCTATTATACCGCTCATTCGCTGCAAAATAAATCAAAAAATAGTGATTTTGGAGTTAATGATGCAGACTTCATTTTGTGTAGAAACTTCACATAAATATCTCTTGCACACTCTGATTGAGAAGTTATAAGGTGGGAGTCGATTGAAAACATAAAACGCATTTTCTGCAAAATCTATGTTTTTGATTTATGCCGGTCTTGCAGCAAATCTACATGATATATGTGGTCTATCCCTTTACGTTTCATAAAGTCTATAGACCCCATCAATTTAATACTAAAAACACGGTAGAATACAACCCTGTTACAGTAAATTGATTGATAGTAGTGGCAACTGTGACGGCTGGTGCTTTTAAAATAATTTGTAAATAAATAAAAATATATTTTTTTAATAAAAAATTGTGAAAATCGCAAACAAAATGTAAAATTCCTATATATTGATCTGTATTGGTAAGTTCGAAATCATTTTATTACTAAAACAACTTTAAAACTAGACAATGCACTCCCTCAGTTAGTTTTAAGCATGATTCGACAGGCTTTTTATGCTGACCAATACTGACATGTATGAATGTTTTTTTTTTATATTTTATTTCCCTATTTTATATATTTTTCTCAATGTACGCAAAGTTTCCATTCAAGTAACCATTGATTCCATATTCCTATGGAGTACTCACTTTTTCCATATGTTTGTTGGATCAGCTGATTAGACCAAAACAATTGGGGTTTCTTATTTGACATGTAATAACAACAGAAATAACAAGTGGATTTCTTTTGAGAAGGAGCCGGTTTTCATTAGGGGATATACTAACCGCCAAAAGCTTATTGCCCATTAGTTTCTTTGTTTGTGTATTGACAATTTACGTCGTTTTCCTCTGCCTCCACTTTCAATGAAAACAATCATTCACACTATCATCGTATAAATGTTCCAAAAATAAACATTGCCAACAAAACGAACGGTTCGACGGTGTTCAAAGGTAATAAAATAATAGACACGGTCAAAGGCACCAACGACATCATCCGAACAAAATAAATCGTGGGAAAACATCTGTTCGAATGTCTTGTATGTTTGCCCATTGATTGCAATTCGCTATAACCACCGCCACCACATCATCATCCACGCTAAACACTTGCCAAAAATAAAAAACCCCACATCATCTAGTGCTAATTTGAAATAAACTATTAATCAATTTTTGAGGGATTCTAACAAAAAAAAGAAAAGAGGAACGAAATAAGGAACGAACGAAAAGTAAGCAGCGGATAGGAAGCAGTTCCACTGTCAATCATCCCACACCAAACGAAACGAAAGAAAAACTGTAAGTAACGCTAACGTTACATTGCCCTGTCTTGTTAGTTCTTTCCGTCTCTTCTCTGTGTTGTGTTGTAGTGAGTGGTGGTGACTAGCAGTATTATAGAATGAGTCGTCAACGTACCGTGATTATATTCAAATCGGAATCGGAAAGCACCGAAGTATATGCTGCCGAACTGCAGCGACACTTTTTCCATCCCATTTTTGTGCCCACCTTGAGTTTTGGTTTTAAGAATCTTGAGAAGCTTCATGCCAAGCTACAGCATCCCGACGACTATGAGGGTATCATCTTTACTAGTCCACGTTGTGTGGAAGCCGTTATCAAGGCATTAGATAAACAGGAACTGCCAGGTGGTTGGAAAATGTTGCGTAATTTTGCCGTTGGTGAGGTGACACACAATATGGCCCACGATCATTTACATCAATTGTTTACGCACGGTAAACAAACCGGAAATGCTCGTGCCTTGGGACAATTCATAATCGAAACGTTTGATGGCGACAAAGAAGCTCCCTTCCTGTTGCCCTGCAGTAACTTGGCCCAGGACACATTGAGTGTTATGCTACGTGATGAAGGATTTCGCATTGATGCCTGTGAGGTGTACGAAACTAAATGTTGCCCCGATTTGGGTGAAAAAATGGAGACCGCTCTCAAAGCGGATAATATAGAATTTTTGGCATTCTTTTCACCGTCCGGTGTTAACTGTGCCTATGAATATTTCAAGGCCAAGGATATACCAATGGATAAATATCGTTTGGTTGCTATTGGTCCCAGCACACGACGTGCTCTGGAAAATAAAGGCCTGAAAGTATACTGTACTGCCGAACGGCCAACCGTTGAACATTTAATTAAGGTTCTAATTAATCCCCAAGAAAGTCGAGAGAATCTATTAAAGGAATCACAACATCAACTACTTGAGTAATTTGGCAATAAGTAATATTTATATTTAGATATTTTTTTATTTGTTTTTGTATAATTTGGTTACAAATGAAAGGTTATTGTTAAAGAAAGAAGGAAAAAAAGACAACGAAATTGTTTAGAATTAGAAAAAAAATTGTTTAAAATTTATAATTGTTATTAATTTTTTTTTTAATAAATGTATTTTTCCAAAAAAAGATTAGCCCTAACGAAACACAAATTCATTTATTTGGTTTTTAAAAAAGAAAAGGGCTTTGAAATGTTGCACATACATTGCTACTATTCCTATGATGCTTGGAATTGAAAATGTGAAAAACTTAACTTAATATTCGTTATTTCGGACACGTTTTTCATGTGAAAACCGTGTAATTTGCTTCCCTTTGGGTAGAAAATCATCCTAGGAAAAATTATCAATATTCGTCCACCACCTAAATTTCGATACCTTAGGTATTTAGTATTTTGGATCCTCATTGGATGAAGAATAGTAATGTAGATGGTTTGTTGTAGGAGTGTGGAACTATTCAATACCAATAGTAAACTGTTGATCAGGAATATGCAGCCGAATGATTATTACAATATGTCTACAAGAATGCATGTCCAATGATTGGAACCTCAGCATCCTATTTCCCTAAAAAAAAATGGGAGAGGACGATACACAGGAATTATTATTTTCCCCATAACATATAAATCCATATTGCTGTATGAACAACTGAACCCAATGGCCAATGACATTGTTGGACCTTACCAATGCAGGATCATTCCAACGGCCCAGAATACTAGGTGTCACCTTCGATAGCCTCCTGACATTCTTCAGGCACGCCGCAGCGCTGAAAACAAAATTTCAGAAGCGAAACAAGATGCTCAAAGCTATCTCGGGTACCACATGGGGTAAGGACAAGGAGGTGCTCCTAACCACTTACAAAGCTGTAAGTAGATCTGTCCTTAACTACGCTGCTCCAGTTTGGACATCGTTCATCAGCGATTCGCAATGAGAGAGAACTGTTCACACTCAGGCAGTCCAGCAAGCAGTCAATGAGCATGAATCAAATCGTGTCCTTAACTGTCAACTTCCAGCGGTAGCCGAAGCTGAGAAGACCCTGCCTAGAAGAACCATATTAGAGCAGCTTCGGTCAGGGTGGTCAGTCGTCCTGAATGTATATCAAGCGAGAGTCGCAGGGATCGAAGTCATTTATCCCACTTGCAGGCAGGGCCGCATTATACTGGTCACCGCATTATACTGGTCATTCGCCACTGATCTATGGCTGAGGCCAGTAGAAGTGGCGAATTGTTTGTAGCTCCAAACGTAGCATTTTATCACCCTTCCCATCAATCTCTGCAATCCACACATAATACAATAACCACCCTCAATTTGTCATGAGATTCGGAGAAGGATAACATTGGCCAACAGATGCTACTAAAACAGATCTAACTCACATTCTACAGGAGTGGTACTACCCATGTTGGTATATAGATCTGAAGCATGTGTACTTGTGCAAGCCGGTTAGACAACTCTTTCTTTTGAGGATTTAAGAGAAAAATTCTGCGAAAAATCTATAGGACGATCTGCGTCGACGGTGAATATCGGCGTCGAATGAACCGCAAGCTATCTTTACACGGACATCGACATAGTCGGGCGTGTTGAGCAGCAGCGACTGCGGTGGCTAGGTCATGTTGAATTGGCATATAAAAGTGACTCTACTTATGGTTTACGTCGAAGGGAAAGGACAAGATTTTGAAGGAAAAATTCAAGTGGAAAACAACATCGCGAAATATTATCTTTCAAGAATATATATTTGTTGAAATCAGAACGAATTAGGTTAAGTCAAATTTTAATGACACTTAACCGTTTGAGCCAATTTTTTTTCGGTAGCCATAGCCATAGCCACTATCGTAAATAGGATATGAACAAAATTTGACGTCGCTACAGTATAATGTATTGTACCATTATTTCTGAAAAATAAAAGTCAAGAAAACCAAATGCAATATGGACATGAAAATCATTTTTAAATTATTCTCTATTTTAATTTTTATAAGAATCATAAATAATTTTGAGGCAAAATTGTACACACAAATTGTACTGTATACAGTTTTGCTCTCTTCTCTCTCTATGAATAATTTTAATTTGTTGTAGAATTTTCTTTGTATATGTGTCCTTCATAAACAGGCCTTGACTTATGAAAAATCCGAAATCCATTTTGATGAGACACAAAAAATTAGATATTGAAAAGAAAAAAAGATGTGTTTTTTATAAAATTTCCAGTGGTTTTTTATTAATGCAAAAAATACAACTAATACTTAACGAATAGTTTTTAATTGTTCCTGTTTCTTTATGTTTTTTCTTTTTTTGTTTATATATAATAATCTGTTTTTGTTTTTCATAAAGTAATAATAATTAGTCTTTTGAACAACGGCAGTGAGTGTTATTTTAGTTTCATTATTATTATTACATAGTTTTATTGTATTATCTAATTTCCTAAGAAGTCCTATTTTAGTTTCATCAATAATAATATTAATAATAACATTAACAAATAAGTAAATAAAAAAATATTCAACTAAAGCAAAAAATAAAATAAAGTTCAGTTTCACTAAAATAAAAAGAAAATTTAAAAACAATAAGTTTGCGTGTGTGTGTGTTTGTTTGACTGACTAAAAGAGAATACAATTTTTCCTATAATTTCTTAGTCAAATAAAATTAAAATAATAATAAAAACTTTGCTGTACAAACCTTACAAACCAAGAAAAAAATATTAAAAATTTAAGCGCAGTGGTTTTGCGTTTTGTTTAGAACACTTTTGAGAGGGAGGTAGGTAGTTTGAGCCTTTTGAGTATTTTCAATTGTGTGGGTTTGTTGGTGTTATGATATTGTTTGACCCTCCTTCCATTGTTGGAATAATTCTCCTCTATTAATGGGCGGCAGTTCTTCGTTGATTTTACGCAGATTAAAAGAGTCTGTATTTGTGCGGGATGAAAACACCGAAGTGGCCGAGTTGATGGGCCTTCGGCTAAATGCAGATTGTCGCCAAATTTCACTGTTCATGTGTGAGGCGGCGTTGGTATTGTTGAGTGATGGATTTGATAGCACCGAGGGTCTTGGTGAGAACGCACCCAGACTAGGTGACTCTATGGGTTGGAAACCATTTAGGTTGTCCATTGTTAGTGTTCTCTGATGATAGTCATTCATATCTGGACATATAGAATTTTCTCTTGACATTGGATTTCCTGCACCACCATGTTGTGATTCAAATCCCGAAGAATGTGACGATGCTCGCGATAGACCTTCATCCATGGGTGTCAGGGGGCTGGCAACGGCTGTTTGTAGTAGTAAACCATTCCTTGGAATTTCCGACATTGATTGTCGTTGATTGAAATAACCACCCGCAAGCCATGAGGAAGTGGTTGAGTTGTTATGGGCTAAATTGGTGGTACTAAAACGGGTGGGGGAGAGCAGCCTGTTTGGTCTTGTAGTTGTATTTTGATTAGTTTGTTGATACACCGCACTGGTTGAGGCTGAAAATGGTGAAAAAATACCCGAGGTAATACGTTGTTGTTGTATAGGCTGCTGCTGCTGGGCAAAGGTATTGTCTCCATTAAACACTGTGGTCGTATTTCCAGCCGTAAAGAATGATGCATCGTTGTCCTGAGTTTGATTGATTAAACGGGAGTGTTGCTGTTCCCTGCCTTCCGCAAATGAATTATTAAATACATTAGCAGCTGTCATTGAAGTATTTAAACCAAATGTGGAACCATGATGTGTTGGTCTGTTATTCAATTGCAAATCTGAGGCAAATAGGCCTTGACGCGTTGGTGGCATTGGCATAGGTGTGGCAAACACCGGCCTCAACGTTTGATCTTCTCCAGCATAGCTTCTAAAACTGGAATTTGGTGAAATTTGTCTCCTTGGTAATTGATTTAGGGAAAATGCCGATGAGGTTAATGGCGATTTGGCCAAACGCGGTGAGGTGCTGGTATTTGGACGAATTGGTGATGATTTATTTGATTTTACACTGCGCATCGATACACAGCTACCATTTAATTGTTGGCTCAGCATGCTCATCGTTTCATCATCGCTTAAATAATCTTCAGAATAAATCTTATGGAAACTATTGGCCGTATTGTCGTGTAGCTTGGGTGAGGGTTCCGGTTTTGTGCTCAAAGCCATAATAAAGGTTATTGTAGATGCCAGAAACTAAAAGAGAAAAACAATTTAATTAAAATTTGTTGCTTTAATTTACTTCCCCAATTAACTTACCATTAAAAATTGTGGTGACAATGACAATCCCTGATCAACTAAGCCACCAGCAAAAATGCTCCATATAACCAGCAGCACAGTATATCTGGTCAAACGAAAACTATCTACAATATTATGCACAAAACAAAGAGCCAACAAAGCAAATGGATAAGCACCCACAAATAATGTTGAGAAATTTAAATTATTTACTTTCAGACCCATCGAATACATTAACATCATAAATATGGTTTTGGAAAATAATGAAATTTTAACAATAATATTGAATTGTTTTACAACATCCCAATATGAGGCCAAAACTTTTGTAAGGGCAATAATGTGAGAGGCCACTAAAAATATCGGTTTTCCCAATGATTCACCCAAAATATTTGTAACATGTTCTCTTTTCAATGTAGTGCTGCTGCCGCTACTGTGTAACGAACTAAAAAGACAACAAATATTCAAAAATGTCAATACAATAATACAGGTGCGTAATTTTTGCTTTCGTGTCTGTTGTATGGCATGTTCAATTTTGGTTAGATGTGGTTTCTTCATATTTTCGGCTCCTTTAATAATAAAATCCAAAAATTTCGAACCCAATACCATTTTTTTCTTTTCGCGTAAGACTTTATTCAAATGGCGGTCACAGGTCGAACATAGGCCATATTGTTTTTCCAATTCGGCTCTGCAATAACAAAAAAGAAAAGGAGAAAGAAAAATAAAATTTAGTATATTTTTTGTAATAGAAATTTTTGTAAATATTAGAATTTTTTGGGGCCAAAGAATTTTATTCGAGTAAAAAAGATTTCGTTACACCACACTGAAAGTCGATTGGATGCAACAATAACCTATTGTACTCAGAAAATTGTTCTAGTAGTACTATAACAACTCCCGTGCAATCTGCCAATTATAAAGAGTATCTTATCATTCTTTAATTAAAATTCTCGATTGATTTCTAAACAGGTTTATTGAATGGATATGTTTGATTATTTTTATTTATTTATTTTTAATTAGAATTGAATTTACACCTCCCTTATAGTGTGGAGAAGACAAATAAATAAGTGACGACTAAAAAGTCAGACTATATTTAGACCCATTTTAATTAGTTGTACCCTTCACCATGAAAATCGTTGGTAGAACACGTTCGTAGCTGTTCGTAGCTTGTCAGACATTCAAAATACTGGACCTGACTATATGATAATGACAATGATCACACATATGTGATGCCCAGAGAAATTGTCTACATTGTCATCTAGTAGCAGTCCTACTACTGTACTTACAAATTCGATGAGGTGACAATCGTTGACCAAAGAGACATTAAAGGTTTTGCATCGTAGATCCCCCTGCCATGAGAACAAAGAATATTTTGCTGGATGCTCAGAAACTTAATTGAAGAAAGGCTTTTTTGATGCTGAATACTTTAAAGAACTTTGTGATCCTATCTGAATACCTTGAAGAACTCTGTATTATATGAGGTTTCATTCAACCCCATTTAGCCTTTGGATATTTTATTTTGACCTTCCTTTTCAAATGTGATGAATAGAATAAATTCATTTTGGACATTGCTATGTATTTTTGCTAAAAATTTTAAAATATATTTTGAATGATATTTAAAAATTGAAAATATTATATGCATTACCCTTTCGAAACCAAGTTAATCAAAGGCATCATCAACTCAAAATATTATCAGACCAAAGCAATAGTTGATAGAAAATATTCAACCATCCATAACGCTTTCTTCATATCCCTTTTTTGCCCCTTTGACCTAATGATAATCTACTGATTGGAGTTCCGTTGGGTTTATATATCCTTTTGTAAATATATTAGCTCTCAACAATATTGTCCATATCTTATACATATTCGGTAAGACCATTTGTGGATTCCATAGGCCCTTTTTAGCTGCTATTCACTAGTTCAAAAATTTCCACTCTGAAATTTTGTCTTTTGAACATCTGTTTCTATTCACATTTATTCTTTTGTTTCTCTTCTGATCCTTTTGGGCATCTTTACAACACCTCTTTGTTTTCGTTACACTAATCCTTTTGTTGGCTTTTTAACACATCTTAGCCAATGGGAACAGCTGTACCATATCATGATATGACAACAGAAAACCTGCAGGTAACTGTAGTACACAGGTAGACACACACACATACGGAAGACATTACTTAAGTAAACAGATGTTTTTTTTTTTCAAAAATGTGATAATACAAAATTTAGGATACTTACTGATAAACTTTTAATTCCTCATCAAAGTGAGATTCATTCTTGGGTTCAAATTGTGCCAATTTTTCCACCTTCAAACGCTGGGCCTCATTGCAAATATCACAGAAACCATTTGTTGCCGGCTTTTGGGGAAACCCAGATGACCCCGATGATGATGGTTGGCTAACATTAAATCTCTTCTCTGAGATGCCACTGCAATCCAATTGTTCATAGATTTCACGATTATAGTCACCATCCTTGTCGAAGCCATTATATTGTTCACACGATGGACATACCCAGCTATTCGATTCCAAATAGGGTACTTTGGTATTTTGATTGCAGAACCAACAATTGACGGTGATACTGAAGCGTGAACTAAAAATAGAGAAACAACACACATAACAAACGATGATGAGCAAATGCTAACACACAAAAAATATCTATCAATGAAGAAGAAAGAGTAAAGTACAATGTGATTTCGAGACAAACAGACAAAAAAGGCGCGTTCTTTTGCAATGTCATTTGAAATACTTGTCTTTCTTCTTCTCGAGGTTTTTAAACCGCTCTACAACTTACCGTATTTTAATATAAATTTTATAAATTACTAAAATGGCCACAAAACCAATGGCCAGCACTGGTAATAAGCTCATGGCCAACGAAAGTATAACATTATTATACATTCTTCCCGAGTCTTTTGTCCGTTACACTCCAAAAGCAAGTATATATTTTAAAAATGTATTATTTCACCAATTCTTTAAATTTTTTTAACTAGTTTTGTAAACTTTATGAAGAAAAAATGATTAAATAAACTATACAAATGCCGCCTCAGCCGCTGTCAAACACAAGCACGCTGAATGACAATTAGTAAGCGAATGACATTTATCTCAACCGTTGACAGAGTTTATGTATTTCGTACTAGCCGGCAGCAGTGTTGCATAGTTGGGTAGTTGTCTCTGCGGTGAGGTAGTCAACACGTCAAAATTCAAAAATTCAGTCAAAATTACGAGGTCAGGTAAAAAAATTGCAAGCAAAAGGTGAAATTGGAAATAACATGTTGATTATTTTTTATTGGCTACACGCACACACATGGCACTAATCACATTTCGTTGAACAAGAAAGTAATAAAACGATAAATATTATTTCCAAAATTGACTAAACAGATGCTAAAAATAAACAAAACGTTTTGCTAAACAAATTAACGTGTGTGATCCAGGTATGATAGTCGCACTTAAAACAAACATGATTAATTTTCCATAGAATTTATTTCGACATGTCCTTATTGGAAATTAGAAATGAAGAACAAATATGTCTATTCCAGAACTGCAAGATGTAAACATTTTTATTATTTTTTCGATATTATAAAAATTATAATCGTAATTAAAATGTACATACTCTTGCAGTTTCTGGAACAACCTGTAATATAATAGCTCTATTCTAAAATTTAAAAATTCAATAGAACAGGGTGTCCCCATAAAAAGTGGTGAAATAAAACATTTTTATAGAACAAATAAAAACGAAGCTTTTTATTGATATTGTGGAAGTTTCTATACCCTCCATTTTAAATCGATCGGTATCCTTGTATGCGTGTTCCCATACTCAACAAGTCGTAGCAAAACTTTTCTAATTTATAAAGGGAAAATTGAAAACAATTTCTATTAATATAAACTTCTTGGAAATTCTTAAATCGAGCAAATTTCAAAACAAGGGTTTTCATCCTCTGGAAAACGAAACTTCAAATTGCACACACAACCGATAGGGTCTTAAACATGTTCGCTAATGCTAAATTAAAGCAGCATCGGTTAGAAAATCCGAATATCTAAATGGAATGGGATCCGTGGATTTAGTGTCCAGCAATGGTAATATGACGACAGTCAGGCTAGATAGGGGTAGCTCGAAACCCCTCGTAGTCTCTGCCGTATATCTCCCCTACGAGGCTTCTGACCCGACCGGTACGGAAGTACGCCGCTTAATGGAGGATATGAGCAGAAATGTTGATCTCATCATCGGGTGTGACGCCAATGCACATCACTTCCACTGGGGAGGCAGTAACACCAATGCGAGATGTGAGTCTATTTTTGAGTTTATACTTAGCTATAATCTTACAATTTGTAATAGGACCAATACACCTATACCACACTGGTATGGACGACTCTGGGGTTATGAACTGGAAAGTATCTGAGAAATACACCTTCTCGGATCATAGACTTATATTTTTTCAGATTCCTACCTCCAGAGGTAAACAGAAGCCTTATAGGAATCCTCGGAACACAAACTGGGACAAATTCAAAGCCAAAACATCATAAAGATCTTAAAACGGTTGAGGAAGTTGTGAACAATGTCACGGTCACTCTTCTGAAGAGCTATAAGGCTTCATATCCCCGAACATACCTTGGAAAAAATCTCTGTCACTCTGCACTCTTGAGAAAGGTTGTAAGGAAAGTATACAATAGAGCTAGTAATACATAACTCAGTACAGATTGGGATGTTTATAGAGAACAGTTCAATAGGTACAAGCCAGGAAAGGAATATCAGAGTCAATTTTGAACTTGGACGCCCCTTTCTTAACATACCACGCAAGATATCCTAGTGTGTGAACCAGACAACAAGTTTACGAACGGAGAATTGTTAATACTTGAGTGTCTCAACAACTTATTCAGGCTTAATTGCCAAGTCCCTTACATGGTCCTTACCTATGACCTACCATACCTCAAATCCGTTCGGCCCTAACTCCAATGTAAACATGTGATAAACCCTCTCTTCCCCTTCATAAAAAATTTATCACATATTTTTGGCTGACGTTTGTATGGCTATGGCCTTCTCAACCTCCACAAGCGCCTCTGCCCTCTCAACCTCTACAAGCGCACCTTCAGTAAGTAAGTAAGCAGTAAGTATCCGCCAAAATGATCAACCGGAGAGCAGTTGAGCAGCCTGGTGAGGTTCAGGCGGGACAGAAGTACGATTGCCAATGTTTGTTCGATTGTGACGAAGTTTTACAAATAAAGTCCACCAAAGTTCAACGTTTATCCGATCGTCTTTAATCATGTGTATTAAGGTTTATTGATATCGCTTCAGATTTAGATATAGCTCCAATTAATTCGTCGGATTTCATCTAAATGTGTACCAAATACCCGACGTTTGTTCAAACTTGGACGACATTTTGCACAGCCAACATACCAATAGCTCTCTGACTCTGCCCGATTGACATGAATTTTGCATAGATTGCCGAATTTGAGGTATTTAGGGTCATTGATATCGGTTCATATATATTACATTTCGTACGATTTCATATAGAGGGTCCATCAAATATGCTATTGGGCTGTTTCCGTACTGCAAGAATCTACTATATTTTACTATTTTCTTCGATAACATTAAGGAAAATTCAGGAACAGACAATATGTCTGTGAAAACTTTGGTTGTTTCCTTTATATATTAAAAAATACTACCACTTTGTGTGAATTATATAAATTTAATGTTTGTGTTGATATTTTTTTTAATTCATCCGTATTATGCTGTCTGAATAAATTGCTGAATATCTCGATAAATACAATATATTTGACATTGTTATCGTTATCGATATAAGAACACATTTAAACTACTACCAAATTTATACAACCCATCCATACTAAACGAACGTGCACTCTCTTTGAGTGAACTGTCAAATTCGGGCAGAGAAACAATACAACAATTCCAAATTGTTGAGAGTGCACGTGTTTTAAGTTTTTGCCGAATTAGTTTGTTTTCATTTTTCAGTTCCCACAAAATTATTCAATTAAAATAAATCAAAATGCAACACGATGATGTGAGTAATAAAACGACCCATCAATTAATTTTATTTAATTATAATTTTATTTTTACAGGTTGTTTGGAGCATCATCAACAAATCGTTCTGCTCACACAAAGTCAAGTAAGTGTTGTTGCTTTTGCAGTTGAATTGGATGGAATTCCAAAATAATAAAATTCTCGACATTTCTCTATTCCAGAACCGATACACGTACATTCTGTCGTCATGAATACAATTTAACAGGTCTGTGTACTCGTCGTACATGTCCCTTGGCCAATTCCCAATATGCCACAGTCCGCGAGGAGAAAGGTATCATATATTTGTATATGAAGACCGCCGAAAGAGCCCACATGCCCAACAAATTATGGGAACGTGTTAAGCTGTCACGAAACTTTGAAAAGGCCATTCAGCAAATCAATGAAAATCTAGTATTTTGGCCAAAATATATGATTGCGAAAAATAAGCAAAGATTTTTGAAAATCACACAATATCTAATACGTATGCGTAAATTGAAATTGAGACGACAGAAATTGATTGTGCCACTGTCACGTAAGATTGAACGTCGTGAATCACGACGCGAACAAAAGGCTTTGATAGCGGCCAAGATTGAAAATCACATTGAAAAGGAATTGATGGAACGTTTGAAACGTGGCACCTATAAGGATATTTATAATTTCTCACAGGCTGCATTCAATAAGGCATTGGCTGCGGAAGAAGTTGAAGATGACGAGGAGGAGGAGATGGATGAAGATCTTGAAGAGGAACAAGAATTGGAACATGAAATGGATGCTGAATCGAGAGAGTTGAGAAAAGATTTATTGGATGAAGAATTTGTTGAGGCTGATTCCGAGGAGGAGGTGGAAGATAGTGATGAAGAATACAGTGATGATGAAGATGCTCTTAGTGATTCGGGCGAAAAAGAAGAAGTTGAAGTTGATAGTGATTTTGAAGCTTCCGATGATGAAGATGGTTCAGATATTGAGGTAAGTTACTACATATCTGTGGAATTTAAAGTCTGTGTAATGGTTATTGAATTCAATGCAAAACAATTGATTGTTTGATTTAACAAAAACTGTGTGGTTTTAACAAATATTCTATTTGAATTATTTGTGCCCAAAAGAATCAATTTTAAACAGTAAAATTTGTACTTTTCCAATAATGTTATAAAAAACTATATTTCGAACATCCCCAAAGGGACAATGTGAAATTTTGTCATATCAAAGAGCTCTGGCTAAGCCAACTATCCCAATCGAAACCTACCGGTTATTATTAGGGGTTTTGGATTATCTGAAGTTTAAATAAATATTAATTTCCTCTGCAACCATAATTTGCATATACAGAAGTACAGGTAAGAAAATCAGTTCGGATAGGGGATTGCAAACTGAAAATTCGATTTTAATTTAATATCAAATAATCAAATAATTTTCACATAATTTCATATATTGCTTTCGTTTTTTGTACGCTTCAATAGAAGGTCTAATTGTAGCTTATATTCGAATACAGTTTTATTGACCTACATTATTGTTTTACGCTTTAGTCAAGCGTAATAATTATTTTGTTTGTCATAAATCCATAAACAAAAAAATTTTGCAATAGTTTTTAATTGGCCCTATTGGGCTTGCATGCTATCATGCAATGACATGGGAGAACATCAGAATGGTCAGAATTTTTAATTTTGCCACTCACAGGCTTTAGTGTATGTCCTTCTTTTGTACATGTAGTGGTGTAAACCAGCCTATTTCTCAATCTTTCCCAACATTACGATTATAAGGGAACTTGTTTGAAATATAACATTATAAATTTATATACACGTAGAAGGAGTAGGAAATATACTAGGACTGTCGGATTATAACTGAGGCTGTTTTGGAAACATTTTAGAATCGGGGCTCTGAGTTTGAATTGTTTAAAAAGTCCTCCTCCTTTTGTAGGTGTGCAACGTCCGATTTTTTTATTAAACTAAATAGAAGAGTTAATTCAGTTTTCTATATATAATCTTCTTTATATGCATGCAAGTCCTTAGGAAGCTCTTCTACAGAGAAAACTGCCTTGTCCAGTTCTTCAATATCTTCACCTGGAAATCTTCTGTAGGCATAGTATCAGGCAGCTATTAAAGATCTTCTATGGAAAGAAAAAAACACAGCAGATCTTCAGAAAGAAACCTTCTACGGATCTTCTATAGACAGAAGATATTCCTCACATCTTCTCCTATTAAAAGTAAAACTTATGTATGTTTTCTATAGACAGAAGTCTTAAAGCAAAACAAAAAATACCTCCTGCGTATCTTTTATAGACAGTGGAACTTACTATAGCTATATATATGGGAGCTATATTTAAATCTTAACCGATCGCCCGGTTTTAAATAAGTCAAGAATTATGTGTGTTAAGATTTGTTGAAATCGATTCATATTTAGATACAGGTCTTATATATTTTCGCCCGATTTTATGTAAATGGTGCACTGAAAAGCCTTCGTTTTTTCGATTAACACGAAATTTGGCAATGTGTATTAATGTTGCAAAAAAGTATGTAACGGTCTGTCCGAATGGTGTGTGTATGGGATTTTTTTTTATTGGTTCAAATATTTATGTAGATTACGAATTTAATTTCGCCCGATTCCATCTGTTCTATCTATAGGGTATTGTAAATAATTTCATCTCTTGTATGTACCCCAAGTGGTGAAGGGTATCATATAGTCGGCCCCGTCCGATTTTTGAACTTTCCTTACTGGGTTTTTGTTTTTTTACTCGACCAAATTGCTTGATTTTGTTTCTGAAGAAATTTTGTTTTCCGATACAACATAAAATTAGCGACAAATTATTTTCCCGAAGCAAAACTAAAGTGAACTAACAGTTTTTTAGTAGTGGACCGATGTTTTTTTTGTTGTTAGAAAAAAGTCAAGAGTAACAAATGTTTATCTTGCCATATCAGTTATCAGAATGTCGAATGCAAGTTACCGCCAGCAGTGCTCCTCTTTGTCGTCTACTGTTGTTGTTGCTACTTCTGCTGCTACAACTTGTCATGCTTGTTGTGGTGTCATAATGCTGGGCTGTGAGTGGTGCTACTACTTTTATCTTCTCGTCCGACAATAATAGCAATGCTATTTGTTCTTAACTGACGTCGCTGCAGCCGCTGCTGCTTCTATCCACGTTCGTTCCTTCGTTTGTTCCTCCCGTATTTTGTTAACAACAATTGTTGCTGTTGCTTTTTTGTTTTGGTTTTTCACATTTATTTATTTTGACTTTTTTGCTGCTGCTGCTTTTGTTGTTGTCGTCGTCATCGTGGTGTTCAGATGAGACCTGCAAAGAATTTCATTCAGCAGCACTTCAACAGTATGTCTGGGGCGTTTGATATGAATTGTGAAAAAAGCGAAAACAATCTATCTGTCTGTCGGATAAATAGAATTTTCCCCGCTACAAAAGTCCTAAGCGGAAAATAAAACGGCCGCGTAATTTTATACTAAATATGTTTCGCGGGTTCTAGGGGATCAAGTTTCGGAAAGCAATATAATTTGTATTTAAAAAGTTATTTTTGTATAACAAATACAAGGCGAACGAACATCCTTTTCGGCCCCAAATAAAATAAAAGATAAAATAATAACACAAATTCACAAAATGTTATTAATGAGATAATGAAAATCCGGTTCAATTAAAGATAAGAAGTACAAGAATATCCAGTGTTCGGTGTTACCCCAATGAATTGTGTTTTTGTTTTGTTTGCCTTTGAGAGTAAAAGTAAATTTTACCAAAATAAACCGTAGAAAAAACGTGTTCATGTTTTTTTCATTATCGTAAATGAATGTTATGGTTAATCAAGTTCGGGTTCCTTTGCAATAGCTTCAAGATCGCAGCGTGAATAAGCATAATTTAATTGTTTTGCATTGAGTGTATTTAATCCAAATACAAACATTAAAATTAAAAAAAAAAAACTAAAAACTCCCATAAACAATAAATTTCGAATTTATTTTATCATCAGGATACACCAGCCGGTGCCTTTGTACGTGCCCCAGCCAAATCTCCCACGAAAACGACCGCCAAGGCTAGCAAAACAAATGGTACAACTAAAGCTGCCGGCCCTGCGAAAAGACGTCTTAAAAAGCCTAAAGTCGAAATTGAATATGAAATGGAAACCGAAACAAACCGGCAAAGGATACATAACTGAGGTAGTACAATTGTTATTGATGCACACCTTAAGCGTGTGTGTGCAATGGCAATTTTTATTTTGTATTTAGTCTGCTATTAAATAATAATAATGATAAATTTTATTTTTAATAAGAATAAAAGAAGTAAATAAATAAAACACAAAAAAAGTTGTCAGTTGTAGAAAAAATTTTACAACCTAAATAAAAATACAAAAACACAAATTAAAAAAATTACAATGTAATTTATTCATTTATCTGTTTTATACTACATTTATCCGTTTACCATGATGATTCAGTTAAGTATATCAAACTTTGTTGTTGTTGCTGCAACAACGAAAACCTGCTTTATTAATAATTAATTTTATTGGCATTACTTGAGTTTAGGGAAATAATTAAGGTTATGGATTTTTTAATTTTTTTATATTACAATTTTATGTGGATAATAACCTCTCTAATTGGTATTGGTTATTATTACAATATTAACTATCACATCGTTCGAATTACTAAAACGGTATGCCCAGAACCTTGAAATATCGCTGGCTTACCTTGTAAAGGCATCAAGTCCATATTTCACAATTTTCCCGCATAGACAAAAGACAATAAAACTTTTTATTTTTTGAATAAAGATTTTGAAATTGTATTGTATGTGTATTTTATTTGCTTAAAGCCAAAATTAACAAGTGAAAAAAGCGTTAAGTTCGGCCGGGCCGAACTTTGAATACCCTCCACCATAGTTATTCTGACAGATACATGAAATAAAAATATAGGGAACATACTAAAAAGTGGACCTATACCGATAATTCTACAAACCTATTTATGTAAACCATTATGTACGCCAAATACAAGTTTCAATTTTTTTAATTTTCAATGGGGATATACGTCAATTTCGAACCCAATATTTTAGTTTTGTACCTCAATTCTTTCCTTCAGGAGATGTTATTATATGGAGGAGTTGGCTAAATACCTGCCGATATATTTCATTATTGTCAGGATCAAGTTTTTTAGGCGGAATTATTATAACATATCGTCTTCGAATTCCACAATTTGTAGAGTAAAAACTGGATATTCCAAGTAACGACTACCCCCCATACTATGGCAGAATACGCCTATATGGGGACAACCCCAAAACACTGAATAAATCAGCTAACTATTTCAATATAAACAAGTAAAGAAGTGTCCGTCGGTGTTGCCGACAAATATATACAATTACCCTATAGTTAGTGGAGAATGTTGACCATTTATGTGGGAGATACCAGAAGGAGCAGATCAATGGGTCCCTTCTTCGGATTTGATCTAGATTTGGTAACGATAATATGTTGGGCTATCCAAAAAATTAGAACTCAAAGTACAAAATTACAACCATTTCGGTCGAAAAATGCGATAAAACCCCCAAAATACTGAAAATTTGGGGGTACCGTTGTATGGGGGTTACCAGAAAAATTCGACCGATATTTATAATTTTTAGTGGGGAGATTTGCTACCCAATAAGAATCCAATGTACCAAATTTCAGCGAATGCGGTTGAAAACCCCCTCAAGAACCCCAAAATACTGAAAACGGGGGGATTTTTTTGAAATTTCCAAAATTTTTTTCCAGATGTAGGTATTTTTACCCTTATTATGGGGATATATTTTTTCTTCGGTTACGTACCCGGTTATTTGACCCGGAAGATCGGGTCAAATATAACCGGCTACCCGTACCCGAACTTCTGGGTCAAATAACTGTGTACGTCCCCCAAGAAGAGAATACATCCCAGTAATTAGGGTAAAAATACCTACCTCTGAAAAAAATTTCAGAAAAATCTGATCGTTTTTACTAAACTAGAGTTATTCCGATTTTTTCAACCGATGCGAGTATTCGTAGGTTTTTTGGTCTTTTTTAGAGAATACAGGACATTGTCCCCATATACGAGTTCCGTCTGATTTTTGATTATTTCACTATTTAACCACTTTTTCTTATCAATGTAGATATAATTTGGAATTTCTATTTATCAGAGAGAAACAGATACCTCCTTTCAGACAATTATCGACCAGAGGCTGCCACTTCCACAAGTACGTGGAAGTTATTTGTAACCTAAGCGCGGTATTTTATCTCTGAAAGACTACTTGGCTGGGATAGAAGTGAAGTGGTTGTCAGATTGTGTACAAATCTATCTCGTTCATATGCTCGATTCCAATTCTCGATTCCAAATTTCTAACAGAGCATGCTTGAAAATACTTGTAATTTTGCACGCATGTATTTGAAGACTTAAAGAAGAAGAAAATAAATTGGCAAAATGTTGTTGTCCTGTTGTTTTTTGCAATTAAAGAAAAGTTCTTTTTCCACTGCGGGCATGATTGCCGATCAGAATCTCTAAATTTCAATGCAATTAGAAAGAGTACATATCAGGCTTTGTTATGAACTTGGATTATTGCCTTCGTTATCTAAACGAATTTAGGTAGAGTGCCCTCATATAACATACCTCAAATTTTGGATTCTCATAGGGAACGAAATCGCAATAAAAAATGTCCCCGATACACCCAAATATCCATATTTTGGGGAGTTTGGACACGATTTTCATTGGGTATTTTGGATTATCATAGGGTACGAAATCTGTCTATCAAAAAATGATCAATATTCGTCCACTTTTTCAGTGGACCCCCAAAATGTCCTTATTATGGAGTGTTGGACAACCGATGTGGTTATAATTTGATATTTTTTTATTCTCTTTAAGTAACAAAAACTATAAATATTGGTTCACTTCTTGGGATAATTCCCATATAAAAAGGGGAAAACTGGAAAACTACACAGTTAGTCCAAGTATTGCGCTTGATACATCAGCTTGGCCTTCCCGTCCATTACTGCCAGAACCATTTTGTGGCAGACTGCTTTTTCGGCCCATTGTGGCCATGCTATCTGCTGCTTAACTTTTTATCTCGTATATCCCATTTTCAGCTGGATATTAAATAGATCATCACACAATGGACTGGCACCCTGGTCCGAACCCTCGCATGAACCTCGTTCAGTATGAAAGGACTTTGAAAGGTGCTTTATGACTTCAGCAACTGATTTTGAGTCAGTTAAATATATTTTGCGTGGACGTATTAATTTTGCTCGGAATATCGAACTCCTTTGAGCGAATATGGCTATCGTAAGCCCGACTATTAATAAAATATCAAACCTTTAGTAACTGCTTAGTACATTCAAGATTCGTTGTTAACGAGACTCGAAAAATATTCCGCCAGTTCGAGATAATTTTCATTCTTAACAATTTTATATGCCATAAATTAAATGTTTCACGTCATACAGGTGCATGAAAACCTGTTTCGTACACAAAACTGTTTAGGAAATATTTCACATTTTATTTAGGTTTTAATTGAATGCACTTAAATTCTAGAAAATTAATAGAAATCCCAATTAATCCCTAATTTTCAATTACGAAATCTAGAAAGACATTTAATAATGGATCGTACGTTTTTAGGTCAAAAGTAAACAGGAATTATATTCTAAACTTTTACTCAAATAAAATATATATCATTTGATTTATTATAAGGGAGGTCAACCTCACCTTTCCGTACTGCAATAAGGTATAGGAGGGTATATTAATTTTGTCATTCCATCTTTAACTTATCGAAATATTCATTTCCGACCCTATAAAGTATATATATATATATATAATTCTAAGACGATCTAGCCATATACTCCCATGTATGGGTACTCCTCAATTTTCGGTATTTTTGGGGTTCTTGAGCGCGTTTTCAGCCGAATTCGCTGAAATTTGGTACATTGGGTTCTTATTGGCAACTAAATTTCTCAAAAAAAAAAAACTATATATATATAAATATAGGTCCACATTTTCTCCTGGTCCCCATATAACGGTACCTCCCAATTTTCAGTATATTGTGGGTTTTAATCGCATTTTTCGACCGAAGTGGTTGTAATTTAGTACCTTGAGTTCTTATTGCGTACCAAATCTCTCCACAAAAAAATAATCAATATAGGTCTATTTTTCGGATAGCCCCCATATAAGGGTACCCACAATTTGGTTTGGTTCTAAGACTCTGTTGTAATCATTTTCCCTGCGGAGGATATCGAGATCAAAAACTAGACCGTAAGGTTCGATTATCGAACTTCGATAATGAACTATAGTTCGCATTTAGGCTTAGCCCCTGTGTGGGAGGAACCAGAAAGAATGGACCGATGAACTAAGTTTGGAAGAAATAATCAGATGGGCAAAGTTTGGATGAAAACTAAATTTTCTGAAACGAATTTGGTCCAAAGAAACATGGGGTCTAGAACCAATATTTCGATGAGGCACATTTTCACCATGTCAAAGTATATATATTTATATATATATATTTATTTCAAGTACCTGTCAGTATATCTATGGTAGAGGGTATCCAAAGTTCTGCCCGAACTTACGCTTTTTCACTTGTTAATTCATGGTTTTTATTAAAAATTCTGAGGTAGAATTTAAGTGAACACCACTTTGGGAACCAGAGTTATTGGATTGCAATTTCATACTTTATTATCTGTTTCTGTAAAAAATTCCTGGTAACTATGCTAAAAGTTATTGAAGCAACTGGATTGCCAATATATATTTTGAATTTGCATTTTATATATTGTTGAGCACCCAATGTTTACATAGGTATCTAATTATAATTTCTATATTTTATATTTTTTAATTTATTTTGAAAACAAATCGCCCTTTCCATACAACAAACTAAACAAAAACACCAACAACAAATAATTATTTTACATTGCAATTAAGCTTAACTTTATTGTATTTTTACTGCCAATCTGTGTGTTTTTTTTCTAACGCCGAAACAATAACATCAAAAACGAACGATACATTTTTTGAATGACATTGACCACATCAACGCCGTCACATACAAGGAGATTGTTTTAAGTAGAACTACATTTAATTTGTGGTGTCTTAGATAGCTTCATTTTATAAACGAGAAATTGCCAATTATGGGTACATGATTTAGAAATAGCTTTTACACTGAGAAAAAATGTGTTTTATCTTGGATTAATAACAAT